ATTTGGCTAAAAAGATAGGTAAAAAAAAACTTGTATATTTGGGATGACTTTTTGGCTAATTACGAAAAGATGTGCAAAAAGTAGAGAGAAAAGAGAATCTTTGACTTTTTGGTATGGGTTGTTAGTTTTTTGGCTAATTTAGTAACTTTTTGGCTAATTAGCTAAAATAGCCTCTTGCCAAACGAGGCCTTAGTGTATAAATAAGTTATACTAGTAGTGGGCGTAATTGAATCTGATAATGCCATTTATTTGAAACAGTTTGATAACAGTTACATGTGAAGGATATTTTAAGAAGAAAAAACTTGGGACATCCACACCAACTCAAAAATTAACTTTATATAATAATATAAATAAATGAAATTTGCATTGAGGTCGAGTTAGTCTTCAAGCATTCTATTTAATTCTCAAAATTACAATGAGTCTTAGAAATTTTTTAAACCTAACCCTTTAGATTTAAAAGGGTTAATTATGTTTTTTACGCTTGTAATTTGACTCAAATTTTACTTTTATCCCTACAGTTTTATTTGAACAATTTAATCCTTATAGTTTAAGTCTAATTTCAATTTGGTCATCCCGTTTAAATTAGAGATTAAAATTAATAATTTTTGGACATTTCTCAATTTTCTAAGATTTCAATTTTGATTTTTTCATCTAAATTGAAGGTTAATATTAACAATTTTGAAACAACTATCAAGTTTCTAATGTATACACGTATACAAAATTAACAAAAATTTAAACGGAATGACCAAATTAAAACTAAACTTGTGGTGATCAAATTATTTAAATTGAAATTCTATGAACTAAAATCAAATTTGAGGTGAAAAGTGTAATTAACTCAATTTAAAATGTAATCTCAAATCATATAAATCAATATTGGAGTTGCCGTCAGACTCATGTCCTTCCCTACATTACTAGGGTTAAGGATACAAGTTCCAGAAACTGAAAAAAAAAAAAAAAAAATTTAAAAAAAATTAGCGAAGAAGAAGTTTCGTGGGAGTATCATAGCTTCCACAAGTCCTAGTCCCGATGAGCTCCACACCCACTCTACAACAAGGCTCCACAGCCACCCCACAATAAGGGTTTTAAGTTTTGTGATAGGAATACAACGCAGTCTTTTAAAGAAAGTCGCGTCTCGAGTGTCGAACTCAGACATCTTGTATGGAAGGAGGGCAAAACTCCACTAAACCACCACCCCGATGATAAATTATAGAAAAGCTTGAAAATAAAGTTTAATGCCTATGTAAGGCTATCTCCAATCATAACTCAAAATTTTATTGTTTGAATAAAAGTTGCATTTGCTATGAAGCACTTTCAATGACATTGTTTTTAAAAAATTCCAATCATATATTAAGAGTGACAATTTGATAAATAAATGAAGTTGCAAATAAAGCAAATATAATTGTTGGGTATTTGAGTCAAGATTTGAGACTTCTTTTATTTGGGCTTTAAAAAAAATGGCAATTTAGTATAGATTTGAGTTAAGGAGTGGAGAGAGCAATTGTGTGTTTTTTACTAACATCTAAATTTGAGTCGAGGTTTTAATAAAGATTATAGATATTTTACTCTAAGTTAGAGATGTCTTATGTGTCAAAAATTTATCCTCTATTTTGAATTTTTTTTTTCCTTCCCTTCATTTTTTGTCTCTACAAATTTCAACTCAAATTTAAAACTCAAAATCAACTTAAAGAGATTGAAGTTGAACACAACCACTCAACAAAGAAAAAACAAAACAAAAAATAGATGGTTGAGATGAGAAATGGCAAATCTTCAATAGCACATGGTGTTCACAAACTAGATTCTCTTCCATTTCAGAAACGTGGTTCAGGTCATATTAAATTTGAAGAAATTAGTATAATAGTGGTCAATGCACCATTGGATCATATGATGTTTTGGACTGTCATGCAGCTTAGCTCAATTGGTTTGGCTCTTTGTTATTTAAATATTGGGAATTTACTTATCAGTGAAAATTTAAGAAAACATTTATAGATTACTGATAAATTTTATAAAATGATAAACTTTTGTATCAATGAATAATTAATTTTTAACGTTTACACTAAGAGCATCTCCAATAATTTATTATTGGAGCGGCCAAAGCTATAATATAGTAGCTTTGCTGCAAAAGTAGTTCTCTAATAGTTTGCCATTGGAACTGTTAAATTTGATAAATACCAAAACTTGTAACAAATTTGGCACAAGTTTTGACATATGCCAAATGTGCCAATTCATTTAAACCATCCGTTTTCTTCCTTTCCTCCCTTCCTTCCTTCCTTTCTCATCATTCCTAGCAAACCAACCGCGGTCGACAAACTCTCTACTTCTGCAAAACTCAGCAAAATTTCATTCACCAATCGATCACCCGATCGTTTTGTCGGTCGACCGGACAAGGTGGTTGTCCAGCCTTGGCTTTGGTTGGGATTGCCAAAATGGCTTTCTACCATTTGAGCACTATTGTTATAATTTGACAATTTGCTATTATAGCATGCCTTTGGAGATTCTATAATAGCATTTATCATTGGAGATGCTCTAACATTTATTTTCTCCTTTTAAATATTTTTACATATTTCAATATATTTTATACATATTTTTTAACACTAACAATAATCTTAAGAGAAGTTCTACAATACACTTTTCCTAAGTATGTATGGTAGAATTCTCCTAATCTTAAAGTTTTTTTTTTTTTTTTGGCAACGTAATACTATCTTATATGTTAATAAAATATTAATAAAAAGTTAATTACACTTTTTACTCATATAATTTTATTCAAATTTCACTTTAATTTATATTGTTTCAATTTGAATAATTTGGTCCATACCCTTTAAGTCTAATTTCAATTTAGTCATTCTATTTAAATTTTTCTTAATTTTGTCTACATGTACACTTTAGAAAATTAACAAGTGTTCTAAACTTATTGGTTTTAACTTGTAATTTAAACGAAAGGACCAAATTAAAACTACACTTAAAGGGTCGTGACCAAATTATTCAAATTAAAACAATGTGAATTAAAGTGAAATTTAAGTTGAGTTATAACAGTGAAAAGTGTAATTAACCCTAAACGAAATTAGGCGAACAACTTCCTACTAACGATAGTAGTCTCCACTATTATCACGTAAAATTATTATTATATTGAATATTTCTTAATCGCTTTTGGTTGCAATTTGTTGACTAAAAAACACAAATACAAACAGACACATTGATCCTTCGAATTTTAAAAATATTGGACACAATGACACAAGAAAAACATATATAAAATATATAATTTTATACATTTATTATTTTATATATAATATTAAAAATATTTGACAAATATTGTCTTGTGTCAAACTAACACGATATTTGAAATAATACATTACCATCTTAAAAATATCCATACTCCAAAAGTTGTATGACTTACCTAATTGGGTTGAAATAACTTTAGTTTTCAATAGGTCCACGTACAATCCAACTGATTAATCTTCCTCTCACCAATTGAAAAATGTGTTAGATCTCTAAAAAGAGAGTTTTAATGGAGTATTAATTTGTCTTTTTTTTCCTCATATTTTGTCTTGGGAAAATTGGCCTAAGGTCCCTCCTCTACTTTTGATATGAGGAGAGGTCCTTTATAATATGTTTTGATGGCTAAGGTCCCTCAAATTTATTTTAGGTTATAAACTATTCTTTTTTTTTTTTTTATATGTACGCCAACTCATTAAAGCTACTACAATACAGCTCTAATTAGAGGTCTGCAGCACTGCTGCTCACCAATTACCTAATACATGAACAAGAATATTTTTTCTTCTAAATTTATTCACACACGCAAGCCTCAATTGTTCAGGGACTTGTTTGGCCAGACATGACTGATTTGATTTACAAAGGGCCTCTTGGTTATATTAATCTTCGTCACCAATTATATAATTTGCGAACAAGTATATTGTCTTATATATCTTTTCATCCACACAAATCCTAAAATTTTTATTATATCCGACAGGAGAGAAACATTTTTTTTAGTGAACAAAGCGCCCCATTGGTCGCACTATACGCCTGAAGTACTTCTGAATTTATTAACGTAACATTTATCTTTTTTTTTTAAGTTCGGTTTTTTTTTTTTTTCAACAACTCTATTTTGCTGAGGTGTATAAGGTGTAGTAGTTTGATGCACAATTTTGAGTTGTGAACATAAGTCACCAAAAGGTATATCATATTTTCCACCTATCATTTCTTAATGTCTTAATTTTTCTACCTAGTTGTAATTCAACTTCATTCTTATATTGAATGAATTTTTTCAAGATTTCATCCTTGCTTCATAACAAGTACACATGGCAATATTTAGTGTTATAGTCAATAAAAGTAATGAAATACTTTTTGCCACCCCGAATTTTAACAAATTTCAAATCACAAATGTCACTATGAACTAAATCCAGTGGCTCAGTTTTTCTTTCAATTGATTGAAGTGGTGCTTTAATTAATTTTGCTTCAACACACACTTCACATTTGTGATTTGAATCAATTTGAAATTTAGGAAAATAATATAGGTAAGTTAATTTTCACAAAGTATCATAATTTACATGACCTAATCCACTATGCCACACACAAGAAGACTCAAGTAAGTAAGCAGAAGATGTGTTAATTTCATTAAACTTTGGAACAATAGTCATTACATTAAGTTTAAATAGTCCATCGCTCAAGTACACCTTTCCTACATACATTTCTTTTTTGGTGAGTTCAAAATTATCAGACTCAAACACTAATTTAAACCTATTCTTGCTCAGCAATGATCCAGAAACCAGGTTCTTTCAAATATCTAGTACATATAGCACATCTTTGAGAGTGAATTCTCTTTAACACCATGTTCCCTTGTCCTTCAACTTTAGAAGTCTGAGAATTCCCCATATAGAGTTGTTCTCCATCTTCTGGGGCACGATATGATAAGAACATCTTTTTCTCGGAATAAATGTGGCAAGTAGAGCCTCACGATACCTTGGGGTTGTCCATCAAATTCACTTCAAACATGACACCAGATACATTCAGGTGTGAACCATTGCACAAAGACTCTCTTCTTCGATTAGGTTAGCTTGAGTGGGTTTCTTCTTATAGTTTCCTTGAGTCCTTATTTTGTGACAATCCTTAGCACGATGTCCCATTTTGTCACACACAAAGCACTTGCCATTAAAATTCTGACTATCTCCACTCTTAGCACTTTGCTTGGAGCTTACTCTGAGATGCTTCATTTTCTTATTGTTGAACTTTGGCTTATATTCCACAATGTATGCCTTGGATTCCATGAGACGATGTCCATTTTTCTTTTCAAAACCACGATTATCCTCTTCAATCCGCAATCGAACAATCAAATCCTCTAGTGACATCTCTTTGCATTTGTGTTTTAGATAGTTTTTGAAATTCCACCAAGTCGGCGGTAATTTTTCAATAATAGCCGCCACTTGAAAAGATTTGCTCAGAGACATTCCTTCTACATGAATTTTATGCAAGACAACTTGAAGTTCTTGGACTTGATTGATTACTGTTTTGGAATCCGCCATCTTAAAATCAAGGAAGCGACCGATAACAAATTTCTTTGTTCCGGCATCTTCCGTTTTATATTTGCTATCAAGCGAATTCCACAAAGCTTTTACAGTCTTGATTGGACTATACACATTGTATAATGTGTTATCCACACCATTGATGATATAGTTCTTGTAGAGAAAATCTGCATGTTTCCATGCATCCACCGCTACAACAACTCGTGCATCATTTTCATTCTCACTAAGAGATGGAGCATCTTCTTGCAAAAATCTTGCCAAATTCAAGGTGGTAAGATAAAATAACATTGCCAACACTTAAAATCTGTACCATTGAATCTTTCAGGTGTTTCCTCATAATTGATGGGAACATTACCATGTCTAATAGCCATCAGAATGGAAGCAACCGGTGTAGACACAACGGGTGTAGGGATAGTATTTTCCAATGTAACATTACTTTCGGTAGCTATTTCTGATTAACAAAAATAATTGATGTTAAATAGAAGATTCTACTATATATAATATAAACATGAATTTATATATATACAGTAAACTTAGCAATTCCAGAATAATAAAAACAATGTAAAAATAAGTGTCCAAATAATCTAGTATTCTACAAATTATTAAGACAACAAAACAAAGTTCTATTGCAAAGAGAATTCGGACAAACAATTTTTTTAACCAAATAAATTCAATAAAATTTTTATTTAGGTTGAAAATCTTATCAGCAACAATCATGTTCCCAAAAAACAATATTATGGAAAATTAACACTACAACCATAACATAGAAGAATAGAGTTTCACTGAAACACTGTTACGATTAAAACAATATTGTCTTAACAATATTGACAGACTACACGTATAATAATTATACTGAAAGAAAACAGAGTCCCACAACAATACTGATACGATAAAGCAAATTTTTTAATATATATATATATATATAACGGTACAGTGCAAAAAACCAAACCAAAGTTTTAATGTAAACAAAACCCAAGAAAAAAAAATAGTAAACCCAGAAATAAATATTGCAGGATTCACTAAACTTAAAACCAAAATTTAACCGAAAAAGAGTTATACTCAAATACGTAAATATTAGTAAACAAATGTGTAATAAATAAATCAAATAGTATAAACTCAGAGTTCTAATACGTTGTATATAAGAAAACAAATTTGCTAAAAATTAATTTTAACCAAAAAATCAATACTCTAATATAGAAAACAGTAACGAAATTATGTCTTAAAGGTACAGTGTTCAAACACTGGCCTTAATCACAAACTTGTTCATAAACCATCTGCAAAAGTATGGTAAAATTTAATTTTATTGTCTACTTTATTTATTTTATTTACCTTAATTAATTATTGCCAAAATTACCCTTGGATCAGACTTTAAAATAAAAAGACACCCCATCAAGTCACACCATTTATAATGAAAAGGCACCATAAAAAATTACACTCTACCATTGGGATAGAGTCCATTCCTTTGATCACTTATAAATTTTTCAGCATTCACAAACTAGATTCTCTTCCATTTCAGAAACGTGGTTCATTAATACAATAGTGGTCATTGGATCATATGATGTTTTGGACTGTCATGCAGCTTACCTCAACTGGTTTGGCTCTTTGTTATTTAAATATTGAAAAATTACTTATCAGTGAAAATTTAAGAAAATATTTATAGATTACTAATAAATTTTATAAAATGATAAACTTTTGTATCAATGAATAATTAATTTTTAACGTTTACACTAAGAGCATCTCTAATGATTTATTATTGGAGCTGCCAAAGCTATAAGATAGTAGCTTTGATGCAAAAGTAGTTCTCTAATAGTTTGCCATTGGAATTGTTAAATTTGATAAATACCAAAACTTGTAACAAATTTGTCACAAGTTTTGACAAATGCCAAATGTGCCAATTCATCCAAAACCATCCGTTTTCTTCCTTTCCTCCCTTCCTTCCTTCCTTCCTTCCTTTCTCATCATTCCTAGCAAACCAACCGCGGTCGACAAACTCTCTATTTCTGCAAAACTCATCAAAATTTCATCCACCAGTCAACCACCCGATCATCTGGCCAGCCGAACGGCCAAGGTGATTGTCCAGCCTCGGCTTCAGTTGGGATTTGCCAAAATGGCTTTGTACCATTGGAGCACTATTGCTATAATTTGACAATTTGCTATTATAACAAGCCTTTGGAGATGCTATAATAGCATTTACCATTAGAGATACTCTAACATGTATTTTCTCCTTAAATATTTTTACATATTTCAATATATTTTATAAATATTTTTTAACACTAACAATAATCTTAAGAGAAGCCCTACAATACACTTTTCCTATGGATGGTAGAATTCTCCTAATCTTAAAACTGTTTTTCTTTTGCATTGAAAAAGTTAGTTTTCAAGAATCCAAGCATGGTTACTGTAGTTTTGAAGTTTCTTAGGAATAAATATTGAGTACAACGGTAATAGTATCTTATATGTTAATAAAATATTATAAATAAAAATTTAATTACATTTTTACGCATATAATTTTATCCAAATTTCACTTTAATTCATATTGTTTTAATTTGAACAATTTTGTCCCTACCCTTTAAGTCTAATTTCAATTTCGTCATTCTATTTAAATTTTTCTTAATTTTGTCTACATGTACACTTTAGAAAATTGACAAGTGTTCTAAACATAATAGTTTTAACTTCTAATTTAAACGAAATGACCAAATTAAAACTACACTTAAAGGGTAGTGACCAAATTGTTCAAATTAAAACAATATGAATTAAAGTGAAATTTAAGTTAAATTATAATGGTGAAAAGTGTAATTAACCCTAAACAAAATTAGGCAAATAACTTCTTATTAACAATAGTAATCCCATTCTGACCTGGACTATGTCTATGGGTTTACCAGAGAGGCGAAGAGATTTGTTGTTAAGAGGTTTTGGAGAAAATGGTTCAATTATTCATGAATGCAAAGGTCGTCTGAGTTTGTCTGAGATTGATGTACACAAAGGTGGTGATAGAACTAGTGATGTTGACCCTGGTCCGTCAATTTCGAAGGCTAGTGTTAGAAAAGAAGAAGTTGATCAGAGAGGATCAGTTATTATGGATCCCGCAGAATTTTCTGATGTTTTACAAAATGTAATAATGAGTGTAAAAATAGTGATGAGACTCAAGATGTAATAGTTAATGATAAGGGAAATGTAGTAAGTAAATAAAAGTTTGAGTGGTTTCATAAATAAAATTAATAAAATTTTTCATTAATCATGACAGTGGTTACATTAATATCAAACCATTCTCTCATTTTTTGTAACATTGCATCTAACCAACTACTGTCCACATTAGTTCACATAATACAAGGAATTCCACCTCTAATACTGAGATCTGGTTAGAATTTAACAAATACATGGAAGTCTCTCTAGCAACCTACTAAATTTTTCATTAGTTCGATAGGGACTGTCGAGTATTTGATGTCGTATATGATGTTGTAGACGGCGTCTTAATCGTAGTCCTTGAAGTTTATTCTGTCAAAGAAATAATTGTGTCGTCCGAGACTTCTGGCCCAGGCGATTTTTCCTGTACTTGAGGGTCCTTCGAGGTAGAAGGAGATTAGGCGAATGGACCGTTGTTCCGGATCCTATTATCAGAGGAGGAGGAGAGTTCTTCATCAGTATATAAATAGTATCTATTATTCCTGTGTATCCCTAATCTAATGTTGTCGTCTTCACTGTAAATAGAGAATCAACAATTTTGACATAATTTGTATTTTACAAAATTCTGACTTACAAACAAAATATTATTTTCTGCCCATTTTTTTACTTTTTCATTTAAAAAAAGAAATGAATTAAATGGGCTAGTATATGGGGGTCGCTCTCGTTTGTATTGATCCCTCGAAAAAAAATTTAATTTGGGGTATTTTGTGACGTAATTGGTGGAACATCTTTTTTTGCAAAGTGAAAAGAATTGTTCCTTCGTTTCTGCTTCTGCATGTATTCCCCATCAGAGTTCATCTCTATTCTTCGAAGGATTTTCCCCTTAGATGAAAATTTTCTCCATTCTATGAAGTTGCCCTCTTTCTATATATACTATTGACTTGCTGTTGGATAATGGAGTTTTTCTATATTTGGATGATATATTCTGCCATTGGTTCCAGTGAGATCGAAAAATCTCGAGTTGGAGGTTTAGATCTTCTTTGTGCATTAAACCATGGCAAGGGCATTGTACGTAGGTGGGGAAAACAGTCTTGTCATACTGTAGACACCCCATTTTTTACCGTCCTCAAAACTTGGACGTCATCACTTGTGCATATGATGATTATGATTGCATGTGTTCGTTTTGAGTGCCTGAAGTTCTCGGCGGAACGCCCTGTCTTTGAGCCTTTAAACCTTGTCTTTTCTATGCCTTATTTTGGACCAAAACTTGGTGTCTGGACCTTTTGGTGACCTATCGGCCACCACCATAGGCTGTCGGCCATGGCTCATGGTTGTCGGCCATTGGTGTGGCCAGTCGGCTACCAGTGGTGGCCGACGGCCACCAGTGTCTTTTTCTAGATATTTGTTGACAGTTGTGTCAGCTGTTAGCACACTGAACTACATCTCCCTGCACGTGGTTGTTTCTAAGCTCAAGGCTTGTTTTTCCATATATATAGGGGTTCCTCCCCCATTGTTAAGGGTTAGAAATTTTGGAACAAAAAATCTCTCTCTCTCTCTCTCTTGCAATTTTGTGCTTAGTTGCTTGTTTTCTCTACACTTTTACATACACTACCTTAATCAAAGTTGCTTCTCTTTGGGCTGAGGTTGTTTGAGACCCTCTTTGAGCTCTAGCAAGTGGTTTTAGCTTGGTTTGGTGCCTAAACTTGAGCTTTGCTTCAAAGGTATAACACTTGCCTTGTTTACTTTGTTTCAATATACTTGTTTTACTATCTTTTCTTACTATTTTGGGTCTGGTTTTAAACTGTAAAAAGTTCTATTTTTGTGGTTTAAAAGTGGCGGTTTGAACCCTTTTTTAGTTAGGGGGTGGTTCCCCCTTCTTCCTTCTTAGTTTGTCAAGTTTTTGTGCCTTTATTCATCACTTTCAGACCAACTTTTTTGGGCATTTTAACTACTAAATTTCAGAGGTTTTTCAATGGTAAAAAACTTATTTTGAAGTCCAAAATTAGAGGGGTTAGCCTCCTCTTCTTGTGTCTTGTTTGCATGCCTAGTTAGCCCCATGTATTAGCTTAATGTTTTAACTTTTTGTGGCTCAAGTCCAGCATGTTTTACACTCTGTTTTGAACTGTTTTTCCACTGTTTTGGCTGTTTGGTGCCATTTGAGCCTT